TTTTTGAGACAGAGTTTCACTTTTGTCGCCCAAACTGGAGTGTGATGGCACGATCTCGGCTCACTGCGACCTCCACCTCCCAGGTTCAGGCGATTCTCCCGCCTCAACCTCCCAAGTAGCTGGGATTACAGGCACCCACCACTATGTTCGGCTAATTTTTGTATTTTTAGTAGAGATGGGGTTTCACCATGTTGGCTAGTTTGTTCTTGAACTCCCGACCTCAGTTGATCCACCCACCTTGGCCTCCCAAAATGCTGGGATTACAGGCGTGAGCCACTACACCTGGCCAGGTAAATATTTTTAAATGAATAACTAGACGAAAACTTTTTATGATAGGGAAATAATACTTTTACAAATCCACTTCTGGACAATAACCTATTTTGTCTACTAAAATTTGTTGAGATTATGCCTATGGAAATAACACATCTCAGTAATTTTTAAAAGTTGCCTTTTCCCCCCGAATTGTCGTAACTGACCAGAAAAGGAGCAGGACAAACTTAAAAGTTTACTTAGATAATACTCTTTGCATATAATGCTGGGTATTTCTAATCATCTTCTCTTTTTTTTTATATTGATTGTCATACATGCTGTGGTTAGTATTAATGTTTATACAGAGTGATCTTTAATTATTCTGTAACTGAAATCTATATATCTGGGAAATGCAACATATCATTTATTACCTGTTGTTCTCAAGTTTTTTTTGATAACAAAAATGTAGAAAATAATAATACATTTAGAAAATAACTAGAATAAATACCTTTTTAAAAAATGTTCTCTAGAGCAAAGCTGTCACTATTTTCATAGTACTTTCGTGGCGTGATCTCATTAACCTATTAGTAATTGAGCAACTACTATTTAACAGGTACTATTTAAACTATTTGATATGCTGATCAAAATAGGTGTGTCTCTCTTCTATCAATTGATAATCATGTAGAAAATATTGTACATGGTCATTAGCCTTTAAAATAAATATATAATTTGTTATTAGTAAAGTGAAAAGCGTAGCAAAGTTGTTAATGCTACATCTTAGGTTGTTTTTCAGGTAATAGGATTGTTAACTATGATGTCAGATTTTCCTCAACATTTAGTTTAAAAGATGCTACCTAGAGTAGCAGAAACAATCTCAATCTCTTTGTCTTTCTCTCTCTCTCTTTTGTGAATGTCATATATGTCATACAAAATTTAATATGAATAATTTTTAAAATTCAGTCTATTTTTGAATATTACTAAAGATCCAAATTTACAAGCAAACTATATAAAGCTCCTTTGTGAATTTATCCAGAAAATCCCTGTGCATTGTCACAGGACACACTGCACAAAACATAACAAGGGTCCAGTCTGAAAGTTATTTTAGTCTTCCTTTAGTCCATTATCACTGATAGGAGAGAGAACATAGATATATTTCACGGTAGAAATATTTGCCAAAGTATTTGTCTAAGAAATATTTTTATTCTCATGAAAAAGAAATAAACTAGGCCTGGTGGAGTGGCTCACACCTATAATCCCAGCACTTTGGGAGGCTGAGGCGGGAGGATCACCTGAGGTCGGGAGTTTGAGACCAGCCTGACTAACATGGAGAAACTCCATCTCTACTAAAAACACAAAATTAGCCGGGCATGGTGGTACATGCCTGTAATCCCAGCTACTCAGGAGGTTCAAAAACAAACAAACAAAAAGAGATAAACTGAGTAGTGCACTTCAATCCCCTCTTCAATTAAATAAGACAGAGGATACGCAGTCTTATCATGACTTTTTTTTTTTTTTTTTTTTTTTTAAAGACAAAGTCTTGTTCTTGTCCCCCAGGCTGGAGTGTGATGGCATGATCTCGGCTCACGGCAACCTCTGCCTCCCAGGTTCAAGCGATTCTCCTTCCTCAACCTCCTGAGTAGCTGGGATTACAGGCACCTGCCACCATGCCCAGCTGATTTTTGTATTTTTAGTAGAGGCAGGTTTCACCATGTTGGCCAGGCTGGTCTTGAACTTCTGACCTCAGGCGATCTGCCCGCCTTGGCCTCCCAAAGTGCTAGGATTATAGGTATGACCCATTGTGCCCGGCCAACTTATTTTTTTAAAAGACAATTACATGAGAAAAAAAGAAAAATGGTGGTTGTATTCTTTACTTTTCCTGAACATTCAGCTTGAAACAGTCACAATTTCAATTTTTAGAATAAAGAACATTTACCTACCCTAAGAAATCCTCTCCTAAAGAGGATTTCAACTAATTGTTTTTCTTTGAAACTCATAGCACTGTGATGATATCCAATACCCCTTTCTGCCAAGGCTTTCAATTCTTCACCTTTTCTTTCAAATTTTACTCGACCAAATACCTTCTGCAAAGTCTAAAAGAAGCAAGACATTTAGGGATTATGATTTAATTTTAATTATAATTAAAAATGTCTAAATGAAAATAACATGCATACTATGTAATAATTTGGCTAAATGAGGCAACTATTTGAAATTGACTCTACATGAATACAAAGAACATTTTATGGCAGCAACAGTAACTACAAGAAAAATCTTCCCACTTTTTTGGACAGACTATCTTAAACTGTCTTACTCCACTTCTGGGGCAGAAAATTTTGACAAAGTAGCAGATGAAACACCCAGCAGCGGTGAGTGCATGACTGCTCTTGCCTGAGGGATATCAGTTGGCTGTTGGAGCCTTAGGAGTTTTCCCCAACAGAGAGACTTCTCCAAGAAGGCAGAGTAGGTTCCTTACCCTACATGGTCCGGGAATGCCTACTTCCCATTGAAACTGAGCACAAATGGCCTTAAAAATACCCAGGTCTTAAAGAAGAAATACAGTTGTGTCCAGAGATAGATGGACAAAGATAAACACCGCTTATCTTTGTGGGACAAAGAGGGACAAAAAAAAAGCTTCCAAAAGCAAAAGGCTTGTTAGTGGTTACTTCAATTATGTATTCACTCATACAACAGAATATCAAGGATTCATTAAAATGATGATCTAAATACATGGTTATAAAAAATAAGACACCATGAAGCTTACAAAAGAAGGTGCACAATAGAATGAATATGTGTGTGTATATACATATATGTATATACACACACACAAAATGTATGTAAGTTTGTATGTGTATAGTCACAGGAAAATGAGATAAAAGGTTGGTCTGGAAGGGCAGTGAGTACTTATGAGTGATGACATTGCCTTTATTATTACCAATTTGTACCTTCAAATTTGTTTACCATAAGCATGAGTAATTTGCATTTTAAAAGGTTTCTGCATACCAGTTTTAGATATTCCAATGCCTCTTTGGTGTTTTAGCTATAATGTAAAAAGCCCCTGATTTTGAGAAATTCTGTGAATATTATTTAAAGTGTATTGGACCACATGCACCTAAATTTTCACATGAAGCATGTGAAATTGAAGTCTAGAATTCAGACTGTGGAAACAATGTAATAGAAAGAAATAATGAAATGGCAGACATTTTCAGAGGTGAACTGTTAACAAGCAAGAAATAATCTACAAATCCTAAGTCTCCTCCACAGGTATCCTCATCTCAGTGTGTGCTACTAGGGAATTTGACCTAGGAGACTCCTCCACAAACCCTGGCTTAGACTATCATGTCCTTTTTTGGATATGCACTGCAAAGTCTTCAAGACTGATATGTAGCTAAAGGAGATTTCTCCTTTGGTAGGGATTGTATTAATTATGTATTATATTATGCATATATCTTATTAAACATTGTCTACAACTAAGAAGCTATGGCTGACAAATGAAATAGTCTGGAGAATGGTCACATTGTAAGTGCTGACCTCGGTGTCCACTGCTTTTTGATCAGCATATGTGCAGTCCTGTGGGATTTCTAGGTTCTTCTCTAGACACTTCAGCAGATTATCATGTTCAGCCTCATGTATTAGGCTTTGATCCACATTTCTGTTTTTTTTCTGGCTCTTTTCATCTCTGTTCATAAAAATAAAACTTTAATTAATGAAATTGTAAATAATGAATGAAGTAATTAATTGATTTGGCCACCAGAGGATGCCCAAGACTTCCCAAATCAGTCTTCTCACCCAGACTTCCACTGCTGTGCATCTTTATTTTTCTTATTTTATTTTATTTTCGAGATGGAGTCTTTCTCTGTCACCCAGGCTGGAGTGCAATGGCGTGATGTTGGCTCACTGCAACCTCCACTTCTTGGGTTCAAGCAATTCTCCTGCCTCAGCCTCCTGAGTAGCTTGGATTGCAGGTGTCCACCACTGCACCTGGCTGATTTTTGTATCTTCAGTAGAGACGGGGTTTCACCATGTTGGCCAGGCTGGTGTTGAACTCCTGACCTCGTGGTCTGCCTGCCTCGGCCTCCCAAAAAGTGCTGGGATTACAGGTGTGAGCCACTGTGCCCGGCCTGCTGTGCATCTTTAATAACTCAGTCTTCCTCTAATTTCCTTCCTCTTCAGCCTCTGGATGTTATGATCCACCATGAGAAAATTCTATCACATATTGATATTTTCTGGGATGTTCCCTTTCCTTCTGGCTGTAGTCTTGCCATACCCGGTTCTCCTGAGATAACTCTGTTTCTCTTTGCTAAGGTGATGATCATTTTTTCTTCCTTGGCCTTCATGACCCTAGGCTCGGAGGTAAGGCAGGCATTCTCCTTGCTCCACATTGCCAATTCTAGTCATTCTCCTTCCCTCCTTGTAGTGGATGCTACAGCTGCTCTGAATTTAGTTACTAAGGCTCTCAGCTGCACCATTCCCTGGAGAATTGCCCTAAACTGACAGGGGCCTCTTGGAGATGCCTGGGTGGTGACAACCTCTCCTGGGGATGGGAAATAGCCCACACCCAAAGTCTGACTGATACGAAGTATAAAAATCAGCCTTCTTGACTCAAGGTGGGGCAATTCTCTGGTGCCCCAGCATTCCCAGTAGGGTTAGAATCAGGCTATCTTCTAGCAAAAGCCACATTTTTGCTTTTCTTCACCTTCCCTTCCTTGTTTCATTCATTTTCTTACAAGTCCCTCATGAGCACACACCTTCAATAAATCCCTTCCACAGACATCCTCATCTCAGCATATGCTACTAGAGAATCTGACCTAGAAGACCCCTCCACAAACCCTGGCTTAGTCTATTGTATCATCATACTGTGTTGTCCATCCATCACCCCTCAATGTAACATGCACCCAAATCAATTACCACGTATTTGATTTTTTAAATTTTTCTCTTAACTGTGCATGGAAGAAAATTGTAAATATGAGAAGATGTGCTCACTTGTATTTCATCGTTATGTGTTAACTAACGTTACCCTTAACTCAGGGGAGAATGCCTTGACTATAGAAGGGCCTGGCCCTAAAATTTGCAGAGCATGTGGCAAAGCTCCACATATTATTGCCTCACTTTAAGTTTTTAGTCAAAGTAATAAACTGTTAAATGAAATAAATTCTATCCACCTATCTTGACAACTATAGCTCCATAATAACCTGGAATTCAAGGGTGAGAATGAGCACTGGATGGACACGTCTCCTTAGCTCCACTGGCCCCTTGCTTCATGGGAATGGATGCAGATGGAAGAGGCCAGAGTGGGACTATCTAAAGGCCCCGTCACCCCCAGTATGGTGATGAATAACACATTAAATCACACTTTATTTTTAAAACTTGAATTGTTGGTCACTAATCTAACCTGAAATGTGGCTCCTGGTGCCCTCAGGAAAGGTTGTTGAGGATCAGTTGCTAAGAAGGCTTACACCTCCTATGCTACCCCTGGGTTTTCACCTCCCACACTTCTAAGGAAACAGAAAAATAGGTAGAGGAAATATAAGCAGAAGGTTCAGCAGCAAATTCTAGTTTGCTCTAGAATTTGGAAAACCTAAATCAGAGATGCTCTAAAAGTTGTTTCAACTTGGAGAGAAATATCTTTCATTCATTCAAATATATTCATGGAATAATATTACCTGCCAGGTAATGTGCTAAGCAATGAAGACATAAAAAGAAAAATACATGGTTCCTGTTGTAAAGGAACTTAAAATTTAGGAAAAAGAAATACATACAAACAACAATATAATACAATAATTGATCTACTAGCTATTGAAAGTGTAGAAGAACATAGGAGAGAGGGTAGAAAGTCTAACTGCAGGAATCAGGGAAAGATTTGGAGATGAGATACCAAAAAGTCTGAGTACAAGCTTTGGGAGCAATCAGGAAGGAGGGCACTCAAGGCACACGGGTCAGTTCATGGAAAGGAAGAGGTAGAAAAGTAAGTCATGTGAGGAGAATCATAAATATTGAGTATTGATAGAGGTGAGTGGTAGGAAGTGAGACTGATAGAGTTAAGGCAAATACCAAAACATTTCGGCATAACGGTCAAGAAGTTTAGACTTCATCAGCTAAGCAAGGGTGAAGGAAGAACATTGAGCATGGGATAATTTAATCAATTCAAATGTGTGCAAGATCATTTGTTGACTAGATTGGAGAGTGGTGAACCTCAAGGCTCTGAAGTCCAAAAAAAAAAAAAAAAAAAAAAAGACCTCTGTGATCATCCAGGCAAGATATGAGGAGCTTCTAAGCCAGGAAGTTACTTAAGATGGAGAGGATCACAGAGAGGGGATAAACATTTTGGCCCTAGAGTTGACAGAATTAGACATTGAGAGCAAGGAAGAGAAGTCACATTAGCTAAGTCTTTCCAAGCATCGAATCAGTATTTCCATCCATTCTCAAGTTCTTTTTATGATCACTCATAAAACTGTGATGGTATATTAGTGAGACTTCTTTGTCATGACCAAAGACAAAGTGTGTAGTCTATATTTAAACCTTCTGAGGACTAAGTGACAGCCAGAGTTCATATATGTGTCAAAGATGTGCTTATTGTGTAGGATGATTATGTCAGGTTATAAAATCTACCTAGGCTGACAGGCTGTGGTTCTACCTCTCCCAAGTCCTAAATGAGACTGATCGATGCAATTAAGGAATGAATGTACAATTATGGTCACTCATCTTTACCCCATTCTCTCACCCAAATGTACTCAATTTAGAAATAAGTCCAAGCAACAACTAGAACTTATTTATAGAACATATTCAATTTATGTTTCCTACTGGGATTTGGGGAGTATTTTAACCCTCTACTTGTCAAATTTTTAGTTAACTACTTACAAGATCTTTTGTTTCTCTATGGATTTTTTAACTTTTCGAAGTTTGTTAGCCATGACATGGGCTTCTTTATCAGCTTTGGGAGGCCTTTTTGTCTCCTGCTTTTCCTTTAGGGAAGCGCTCACACTTTTGGCTGCGTTTTCTACAGCTCCTAACTTGAATCTGGAAATAAAAAGAATGTGTGCCTTGAAAATAACATCATAAATACAATTCAAAATCATATTTCCATCTACTGCTATCATCCCCTGTTGGGTTTTTAATACCCACCTTTATAAATGTTATCCAGAATGTGCACATCAGGTGTTCCGAATCAGCCGATTCCTTATTAACCACCTTATAGTAAATAGTGTTGCCGGCCCTCCCCTTCTCTCTCTCCCGACTTCAGTCCCCTCACCCACTCCGCCACACAGACATTACCCTGGGACAAAGCAATGAGAACTCGTGGAAATTTTTCCTCTAATAGCAGTCAAATATTCCATAAGCAAGGAACAGAGAACAATGGTTTTTCTCCATTTATCTCCGTTTATATACAGAAGACAGATAGCTATCCCCATCACCACCCTTCTCAAAAATGAGAAAAAAAAGATTAATCAAAAAAAAGTATTCTTTTGGTAGAAGGTGAGAACCTATGATTCTTTCCAAAAGAAAAAACCCTAGGTGTTGCTGGACTTTGCAATGCAGAAATGTCTCTAAGTTCTGGGCTTTATAGTTCTTTAAATGTAAGTACCTAGGAATATAGTGATCCATACTTCCTGGCACCCTGGGGTTTAACCCAGCAACCTGGTCTAGGTTGTACTCAGTAGGCCTTCTCAGATCTGAGCAATTAGCTACAAATTGGTAAAGACATTTATAGACAAATGGCTACAGATCAAATCCTCCTGATACATGAAGAGCAAAATGTTTCTAGAGGAAGTAAAGGCAAACATTTCCTATGTTTATTTCACATGCATTTCCCTGTGTCAGGAAGCTAGGGCTTTTTACAGGAGCACTGAAAAGCCCAGGGAGGTCTTATTTCCCCACTGTTTCTTGGTGGCAAAATGCTGTGGCTGCAAGTAGCCAATAGCTATTGTCACTATACTAACCATAGCTTATAGCTTATTATAGCAAGTCATAGGTCTGGTTTGTATAATAAAGCTTTTTAAATCTATGCTGTGAAGCAAAGGGCCTTTCTAAAGTTTTTATAGAGCTAACATCAAAAGGAAATGTGTTTAGCTAGTGAACAGTAAATAAACTGGCACACTGGTGAAGTAAGAATTTTAAAAGTGACAGTCTACGCCACATGACAAGAAATTTCATATAGTAGACAATAAAATAATAATAGCAGTAAACATTTAAGTTATACACAGTTGACCAGGCATGGTGGCTCACGGCTGTAATCTCAGCACTTTGGGAGACTGAGGCAGGTGGATCACCTGAAGTCAAGGGTTCGAGACCAGCCTGGACAACACGGTGACACAGAATACAAAAATTAGTCGGGCGTGGTGGCACATGCCTGTAATCCCAGCTCGGGAGGCTGAGGCAGGAGAATTGGTTGAACCTGGGAGGTGGAGGTTGCAGTGAGCTGAGATTGCGCCACTGAACTCCAGCCCTGGGTGACAGTGAAACTCCATCCCCCTTAAAAAAAAAAATTATATACAGTTGTCGGGCATTATTCTCAGTGACTTCAGTATATTAACTCATTTAGTACTCACAACAATCATATGAAGAAGGCACTATTAATATCTCTATTAATATCCTTATTTCCAGATGAAAAAATTGAGACACAAAAAGATTAAGTGGCCTGTCCAAGAACCCACAGCTTATATGTGGCAGAGTCTGGCCTGCAGGCCTCTGTTCTCAAACCCTGTTTTTAACTGACATATGTTGCTTCTCTTTTTACATTAACGGGCCTAGGAATTACTGGGGCCTAGGAATATATTACTTTTTAAAATAGTGTCACTTTCATCATAGTACTTCCTTTAAAAAAAAAAAAAAAAAAAAAACTCTTGGAAATAAAGTTTAAAGATCACTTGGAAATAATGTTGCCTCTTAAATCTCTCGGATAACCTATATATTATGTCAATCAAAACAAAACCAAAGAAAAAATATCTCCAAATACGTTGACTATATTTAGAATTAGAAATGAGAATTATAACCCAAGATACACAGCTATGGCAAGCCATACACGTGTCTGAAGGGACAAAGATAAAAGGAAGCTTGTATTGGCAAAAGGCAAAGTTTACATAAGCTGCTTAGAAACATAGTTCATTGGTGTTGGAGACGCAAAACCAGAGCTGGCATCAATTTATCGGTGGAGATGCCATTACTGGGTGGTGTTCTTTCAAGGGCATCTTATCTGAATTGCTGTAGCCCTAAAGAAAGAACTGCCTGTGGGATTATTTTAGAAAGTCCTTGAGACAGCTTATCTCAGCCATACAAGCATGAACACCCCGCCTTCATGCTCTCTCAGCTCTAGTCTGTTTGGATCTGACAAAAAGGGATCATCCTGGTATCTGCAACTTTTACGAGAATGAATGCGGCCTAGAGATTAGACCTTATTCAATAACATTTTTGTAGCACTGTGCTAAGTGTTTTCATAACTTAGGTTTATTTAATTCTCACCCCAATCCAATGCATTATTATTGTGATCACCTCATTTTGCAAATAAGGAAACTAAGGCTTAAAGTCATTAAGTAGCTGTCCAGAAATAACACAGTTCATGGGCGCAGAGGTGGGATCCAAGTTTGGACCTGGCCGTGAAGTGTGTGCCCTTAAGCACACACTGCCATTGCCATCAAACACTGAATATGCTCTATGTATTTTTTTTTAAGAGATCAGACTGCAGAAGGCTTAAGGGTCCATTACTATTTGAAAAGCTCCTAGAGGTAAAACTTGAGCCCAGACAAATCCTCAGATCTCTTGATGATCTGGGGCTACTTAGCACTAAATCAAATTGTGTAAGACCAAGGATGTTCACAGTTTATTCTGTAGAGAATTCAAGAGTCATGTAAACATGCCAAGCTTCAATTCTTCAAGTAGAATTAAACTTTTGATGTTTTGTGAAATATTTTAGTTTTAAAATATTTTAAGTATGTGAAGGATTTTGGAACATGCTACTCCCAAAATATACCACTCTGGCATATTAACTATTTTGAGTTGAAAGCACTAGAAAAAACAGCAGGGTCAAGAAGATCACTCTGATCTTCTTTCTTTTTCTTAAAAGTAGCAGATTAAACGCCCATAAAAAACTTTTTTATACCAGAAGGAGAGTAACACTCCTATTTTCAAAGATGGGAACTTGAAGCCAAGGGACATCTATACTAACAAACCTTGTTAAACTAACTCTTACCTTCCTAGTCACATCCGTACCCAAGTTACCCTAGCCTACGCCCCTTTACTTTGTCACATTTTTCACAATTTACCACTCTTTGTCCAATTCACTATGTAAGTGTCCAACTCTAACTGCATCTTTGGGTCTTCATCTCCTTATGAAGCCTTCTGCACCATATAAAACATACTACATACACGTGCATGCCTTTCTATTGATTTGTCTTATATCAGTTTAATTCTCAAGCCCAGGTAAAAAAGCCTAAGGTGGTAGAAGTAAAATTTTGCCTCCCCTATATCTGTATGAAGGTATGAATAATAAACAGCTATTTTTCAGTTTCTGTTTTGTAGTGAGGCTTTCAGAAATATCCCAGAGGTACAGAATTACTTTTGTTTCTAATTACGACCTATAGCCACACTGGAAAGTGAGACAGGTGAGCTTCGTAAATCTTTGGCAGTGCAGAAATGTATTTTCCTTATCCCAACAACAAAGATAAAAGGAGTAATAGTATTGCAATCCCCCAAATTTCCAAACACAATCTTACATTCACCCATCATCGTAATTTCAGAAATATATCATCAATGATTCATTCCTATATGTCTGTTTACATGTGAGCAAGTTTCATTAAACTTTTCCACCTAACCAAGACTCTGGATTTATTTACTTCAGCTTCCATGGCTTAAGTGTAGTTTGAAATTATCCAAAGTAAACACAGTATTGTGTTCTAGTCCCAAACTATTTTATCAAAGTTAATCCAGGATCTAGTATGTTATCCATTTAATAAATTATACTTTGATATCCAATGAAATTGCACTATTTTGTTCAATTTTAAGCTATTTTATACTATAATATATAAAATTTAGAAAGATATCAGCATATCTGGATCACAGTTCTCATTACTATAAATTAAATATAATAAAACACACTGTCAATAAGTAGTATATTGTGAAGATACTTTAGTTTTATGTGGGATACTTGTGTGCATATACATTCAATTTGTTTTGCAAAGACCCTAGGTATGCATTAAAAATTAACAAGGCTAAATAAAAAATAATAGTTTACAGTAGAAAGAAACAAAACATAGAGTAGCAAACTACATAAAGATGGTCATTCATAATAGCACAAACACAAATATAAGAAGTGAACTAGAAAGTTGTATTTTTAAACAAAACATATGCATTCAAATAACTAATGGGCCCCAGAAACAGTAATGAACACTGCACTACAATAGGAAAGTTTGTATAACTCCCCTCACCTTAAAACAGCTGTCCCCAACCTTTTTGGCACCAGGGACTGGTTTCATGGAAAACAACTTGGCGGTGGGTGGCGGTGGGAGGCGGTGGGAAAGTGGTACACAGGGACTGGGTCGGGGGGATGGTTTCGGGATGAAATTGCTCCACCTCAGATCACCAGACATTCGTTAGATTCTCATAAGGACCGTGCAGCCTAGATCCCTCAGATGTGCAGTTCACAATAGGGTTGATCTGACCGGAAGTGGAGCTCAGGCAGCAGTGCTCGCTGGCCCACCACTCACCTCCTGCTCTGTGGCCCAGCTCCTAAGAGACCATGGGCTGGGCCGGTGACCGTCTGTGGCCTGGAAGTTGGGGACCCCTGCCTTAAAGGAATGAGTCTAATACAATTACAAGCAAAACCAAATTAAATTAAATAACTTACAAAAAAAATAATGCAGGTAACTTCTCCATTTTCCTTAGTTTTTCAACTAGAAGCGGAAACTTCGTGATCATGTCTTCTGGACTCAAATCTGCTTCAGGACTAAGATTCTGAAGTACCATTCTGGCCTGCAGCAGTGAACACAAAACAATTTTAAGTTCTGCATGAGAAAGAAATTACTACTTTTTGCTAAAATATTTTCTTAGTTGTCTAATATATGTTTTTGGGTTTTTTTTAAATAGTCCTATGAAAGTACATTATAAAATTAGGCAAAGAACCATCAAAGAAACATACAAATCAATACACTAGAGAACAAAAAATTGGCAGTGATATATACACACACACACATATGCAATTTGACCTGCAATTTTTAAGGCGATACAAATCAGGAATAGAAGTTTTCAGCAAATGATGCTGGTTTCACTATGACAGGAGGGCAAGTGGGAATCAGTTTCTACATTATGTCAAAAAATCACATCCAAATATATTTTCAAGGTTTGTAAATGACAAAATAGCTAGAAGAAAATGTAACTCAATTATATTATGTTTTTGAATGGGAGTAGACTAAGGTATTACAGAAAAAAAAAATCCAATGAGAAAAGTCTAATATATGTCATTCCTCAATCTGCACCAATAAATCAAATTTCAAAATATGAATACCATCAACTTATTAAAACAAATATCTGTAACTTATATAATTCCAGGAAAAGTTTCAATACCCAAATACTTCCTACGACTTGAAATAATAATAAGAAAAGAACAGTAAACTCCAAGTCAAAAAAGAAAGAGGAGTAAAACATTCTTCTCAGAAACTATTACTGTGAGTTCAGTCTCTCTACTGTTAAAGTATCAACAATATCATCTCTTTGGATAGAGAACCTTCTGTTCTTATCTGCTATGCCATTTAGAAAAAACCAGTAGCCTCTGGCACATGGTTCAGAAGACATTGAGGATAAGACAAAGACCAGTTTACTTTCTCTTTTTATTCTATCTCAGAATCACTAGACTTCGTGTTCAACTTAAAATTTTAAAATAAAAATTGAGGATTAAAAAAATCAGAAAATGGTATTAACTGAATGATATAACTCAAGAAAACAATATAAATATAGTTTGGCCAAAAAGTGTATGAAAATTACCTCCTCTATGTTGCCATTTTTAATCCAACTTGTTAATTCTGACTTTAGACTCTCTTCATATTTTCTAGCATCCATCTTTTTAATGACTAATTTATTGTTAAAATGAATGAAGTTTTCTGGGCACAGTTCCTTGAAAACAAATATTACAAAATTGGGTACAATCATGCAAGAAAATCCAAAAGTATTTCTCAATTATATACCTCTTTAACAGCCTTACAAGTTTCTTGAGCGTAGAGATGGTTAAACTTTTTATCTCCACATAGCTTCTAATGCATAACATTACTAGGATGGATGAGCTCTTCAGAAGAGAGGATACAAAGCAAAACAAAGTTAAAGATGAAAACAAATGGCAGTTGGGACTTAGAAGGGAAGCAAGTGTAATAAAAAGAAATATGAATCTAAGATGTAAAAAGATTGAAATATGATAGTGTTTGAGAAGTTGAAAAGATTAAAAAAAGAAATATTCTCAGGAATTAAAATAAAATACAAGTTAAAACCCATTAAAAAACAAACAGATAATATTAGAAATATGAGAAGAAGCACTTTTATTTTAGGAAGAGTCAACTAATAATTTTAAAAGATTAGATGCAAGTGATTAGAAAGGGTGAGAGTTTGTCAATGTTATCATCCTCTATAATAGGATTAATTACATCAGTATTATTTACCTGGGCCCGGGGCCAACTTTTCCAAATTTGAAACATGGCATCATACAGCTGGATGCTTTCTCGAGGTGAAAGGGTAAGATCAGGAGGGAATCCATACCTTTCAATCTGTTTAAAATAAAATTAAAATTCTTACTCTTTATTTTATTTTATGTCTTATCCTTTGCCTCTCAGTCACTATCATAACCCAAAGACACTGAAAGGCAAAAAACTAAAATGTTCAAATGCTGATAGGTGCTAAATGCTAACAAAACACTATCTACACAGGTCACTGAATCACTAAAGCGGGAAAAAAGCCAAAAGCCCACTAAAAATGTTTAATATTACTTCCTAAGACCTTTTCATTGTGCTATTTGAAATGACTTCATAATTGAAATCAGAGCAATGGGAAGCTGAAAGGTTTGTGGACTCAGTTTAGACAATACATAACCTCTACCTTACAGCTAACACCAAAATTGATGTAATTAAGAATGTGATTCTTTAAGTGTACCAAGCCAGGCTAAAACGGGAAAATCTTATTTGCTTATGTTTCAAGATAAGAACTGGGTCAACTTCAAGATAAAGGCTCTCAAACCACTTTCGAGACTCCAAGAAACTTCTCTCAAAGGTCACTGACAAGTCTGCTCTAAGTCTTCTTAATAATGTATGCCATTCATTTTTTCCACAAATGTTTTTAAGTGGAAATAAAAAATTCCTGTTCTCAAAAAGTTTCACTGTAGTATTTTCTACTGGTTTCTTTTTTTTTTTTTTTTTTTGAGACGGAGTCTCGCTCTGTCACCCAGGCTGGAGTGCAGTGGCCGGATCTCAGCTCACTGCAAGCTCCTCCTCTCGGGTTCACGCCATTCTCCTGCCTCAGCCTCCCGAGTAGCTGGGACTACAGGCACCCGCCACTTCGCCCGGCTAGTTTTTTGTATTTTTTAGTAGAGACGGGGTTTCACCGGGTTAGCCAGGATGGTCTCGATCTCCTGACCTCGTGATCCGCCCGTCTCGGCCTCCCAAAGTGCTGGGATTACAGGCTTGAGCCACCGCGCCCGGCCATTTTCTACTGGTTTCAATCACTAGTGCTACAAATCATTTGCATGTAAAAACATATTCTCTGAGATGTTAATAGGAATGTAGTATAGACTGAATGTTTGTCTTCCCCCAAAACTTACACATTGAAACCAAATCCCCAATGTGATGGTATCTGGAGGCAAATCCTTTGGGAGATGATTAGGTCATGAAGGAAGAACCCTCATGAATGGGATTAATGCTGTTATAAAAGAGACCACAGAGATCTCCCCTGTACCTTCTGCCATGTGAGGGCACAGTAAGAAGACGGCTATCTGTGAACCAGAAAGCAGGCCCTCACAAGACACCAAATCTCCCAGTGCCTAGACGTTGGACTTCCCAGCCTCCAGAATTCTGAAAAATAAATCTTTGTTTCTAAAGCCTCCCAATTTGTGATATTTTTGTTATAGAAGCCTGATGAATGGGCTAAGACAGTATTCTTCAAAAAAGAAAAAGGAGGGAAAAATGATATGTATTGTATCAAATAGGATTCTTTGGGATTTCTCACTGGAAATGTTAAATCTCAAAGAAGTAAATACAGCATGCAAATTTATCCAAAATAATTTGACAATAGGGCACTTGTTTTCGTAAATAGCTATTAATAGGTTTTAAAATTCAGGTTTCAAATTTCAGGGCTAAAAAAGCCACTCCAAACACAACACAGTTGAAACAAACTGGAGATGACGTTTGGTAGAATGGAAAGTACAGGAGAGTTTGAATCAGAAGATCTGGTTCTAATTGCACCTGTAAATGCTAGTTCCTCATCCATAATATAGGAATGAAAATACAATATTTTTACTTCCACCCTAAAGACTGCAGTGAGAGCAAACAAAATCAACATATGTTCTTCAAACCTTTAAAACTATAGAACATAAAACAATTCCTGGAATCATCATTTAACATCTCAGTTGGAGCACTGAAAGATAGCTAAATGCTAAGGACTATATTATGTCAACATACTAAATAGAACAAAACACCTATTATTTTGTAATGTTGGCATCTTGCTCTCTTGTTAGGTATTACTTGAAAGTGGTTACTTACTCTACCTAACTAAAATAAAAACATACAATAAATCGAAGATTTATTATAATGTTAAAATATAAATCTTCTGTTTTTGGTTGCTAGAATGCTTATGAGTTCTTAAGTCTCTTAGCCTTTTAGAGAGGTCTGAGTTTCCTCATTTCTAAAATGAAGGATAATTCTGCCTGTGACATAGATTTTTTTATGAGAATTATATTAGATAACATATGTAACAGGCCTAGTAAAATGCCTGGCATATGATTAATGACATAGCCATAAATATGATTGATTAATTATCCCTTATAGTTCTTAATGTTTTAAATTAGTTTAACAGTCCTATGCCTAAATACTGGGGATTCAATTCAGTTGTTCTCTACTACATAGTGACTAATGATCCTGCAAAAGTTTAGTGAGTCTAGGCAGAAAATGAAGAGAAATAAAAGGTCATAGATTTGTACCATTCTTTATAAACACAATAGTATTATACCATGACGCTATTTTTGTAAACCACATTGTCCCTAATGTCATAGGTGAGGGTAGGCATTGATCTATGCTGAGCAGAAAGAGATAGACAGCAGTTCTTTCAAGGACTTTCTGGGGCTGATAACACTCCAGGAGTCAGCAGCTGTTCCTGTGTGGCATGAAAATTGGGCCAAAGGCCAAAGACACTGTCCTTAGCCAGAAACAAGCCATGTATGGATTGAAGGCGATCCCTCACCATGGTTGGATTCAGACCAGCTCACTCATGCTGCCCTACTCCTGAAATCATTTTTATACTACAACTATAGAGGAAAGGACCCAGGTGGATGGCCCTTCTTATGTTGCCACAGTTTATTATGTTTTTTCTTGCCACTCCATTTTTTCCATATTAATCTGAAATGGGCTACACAAGACCAGGAATTATTTACTCAGTTGAAAGGCCTCCTTGGTTTTTATCACTGCTACTTTAGGATATGTCCTATATAAACACATGCTATACACACAGCTGTCAAAATAGACTTACTAATACTTAAGTCTTTATGTTCATCCTGCATTCCTGCCACAAAAGTCTAGACATCTAAAGAAGACTCATACAACAGCTTGACCTTTGCAGAAGTCATCTGGGGTCACAGCACACTGTAGCAGTTCTATTGCTTTCCAGTTACTCCATTAATAGCTACTGAAAATAGACGAAAGGCACTTGGACCAAAATGACAATTTCAGCAAGTACTCCAAACCACTACATGCATTGCCGCTTAAAGATAACCTGCCTTGAACCATCCTACACAGAATAATTTTTAAATGCTATACTGTTTTTAAAATGCCAGGTAATGATGGAAATGTCAGATAACTCCTGGATATCTTAAAGGAAAGAAGGGAGGGAAGGAGGGAAGGAAGGAGAGAGGGAGGGAAGGAGGGAAGGGAAGGGAAGGGAAGGGGAGGGGAGGGGAGGGAAGGGAGAAAGAAAAAAACATAGAATAAGGTGTCTTTTTTTTATATGTGGGTTATCATCCATATTCTAGGTTTGGGGTATGAGTTAAGTCACAAGAATATTGTCCATATTTTAGGTTCATTTAGAATTTGGATTGGGCCATTGTCACACAAGAGGTAAGTTTCCATAACAAAATTCTATTAGAAAATTACTATCAGCCAGCCAGCTTTTAGAAGCCAACTTGTTGGAGATTGCATCATGACCCCACCATTTACTTAATGAAAGAACACTGAATTAGTTCAGTTCTCTATGCCTCACTTTCCTCATTGTAAAGTGGGACTAGTATTAAGACATCTATCATAAGATTGTTGTCATGGTTAAGAGAGTTTAAAAACGCAGAATTTTTAGAACACGAAGTAAGTGTTCAATTTAGGTTGGCTGTTCTTATTTAACATACATGTAGTACCTTTTATATACATAGCAGTTTGTTAGGAAACGAAGGACATAAAATTTGCCTTCAAAGAGTTATTCTAGTAAGTAAAGACTATATGCATGTAAACGACTTAAGCAGTAAGCTCATCATGACTGGTGTCGTATTAGAAACACAGACAAGGTATTATGAAGAGAAGAAAGATTACATCTAGCTAAGAAAGTTAGAGAAGAATTCGGAAAAGGTTTCACATTAGAAGAATTATGGAAGATGAACAGGATCCGAACAACTGGTAGTTGGCATCTGGGTTGAAATATTCCAAGAGTAATACATAGCATAAGGGCTGCCAGGTAAGATATCCCTAGTGGATGAATGGAAAGGACGTTGGGGCCAGGTCATGGATGACCTCGGTTGTCAAGCTAAGGAGGTATGCATTTAGCTTTTTCCAAAAGAAAGCCAAAAGAGACTTGGAAAGATCAAAATTATCTTTAAAGAAAGTTGAGAGTTATGTTTAATTACATTCGTGTCAAATTATGTTGACTTTTGTGCTCTAAAAATTTTACATATTTTACCTTCTTTAATCATCACAACAATCTTATGATGGATGTCCTATTATGTTTAACATGACAGAATTTGGAATATATTTAAGGTTTTAGAAGGAAGACAAAACTATTGACTAATCATCACTTTGAAAGCCAAAGGAAGTTTAAATGGGCCATTTATGGGAGTAGGATGAGACAGGAAGAGAACTATGCAAGAAAAATTAAGAAATCTTTCCTCACTCACACCCCGGTGTCCCAGCTGAAATCCTCCTAAGACCTCCACCTTAATGGCTCACCACCAAAAAAGCATGTCGTGATTGCTACGTTAGCAAGAATGTCTTTTATCTGATTTTTCTATGTACTAGGGATTGTCCACATATAATTGTATGGCTGCACTGTGAGAAGAATTAGTGTCAGAGGGGTAGACAGACAGACACGGGTGCTGAGAAGAAGAAAAATTGGCAAAGAAAACATCTGAGAATAAATAAAATTAGCTAAAAATTCAGGTTAAATTTGTAGTGGTTTTTAATCTTTGTGTATTCAGGCATTGTTGAAGAACCAATGAGAATTAGAAAGAATACTCTTGTTATTTTTTAAATTAAGGTTAAAGTATCAGTTTCTATAATTCTGTAATTCTATAATTCTGCTAAATATCAGTTAGGCAGCATTTATTTATAATACATACAAGTATTTTATATTACTCAGAACAAATATGGCTAAAATACTACTTACATGATCTGTGGTTAGTGCAGCACATGGGTGAAAATGATCAAAATGGATGTCATCATGTTTTATTGAACATACATGCTTCTCTAGATCATTGTACCTCTCTCCATAGAGCACTAAAAATGAAGAACAAGAATTTCCACATCAATGGAAATGTAATCACTGAAATAAATTTAAAGTAAAAGGCATCAAGATCAAGATAATGGTAGATTTTTTAAAAATAAAGTAAAAGGCAAACTTTATAGAAATATATCAAACATACCAAGTCTAACTTTATATGACTGTTTTACTTGCAGGTAGTCTTTGGGAAAGCCAGCATGATGACCCACATGTCTTTTAGAAGCAGTATTATTTTCAGTTATTTTGTCTTCTTGTTTCCAGTACCATTTTACCGATTGTAGCCACCTTAAAAAATAAATGTACATATTATTTGGCAGAACATGGAACTACTTCCTGTGAAATTAAGTAGTTTAAGTAAAGACAGTTTCATGTTTCTTATAAATTATACTTAGGGGAATAGACTCAGAAGCCAGACTACTTGAAATTAAATCCCAACCTTCTTACTAATAGCTGTGTCTCCTGGTTGAATAACTTCATCTTTCTGTACCTAGTTTTCCATATTTTAAAATGGAAATATGGTAGTAATATTGGAATTGTGACTATTTAATAGTAGTAATGGAAGTAAGCATAAATCATAAGGGTTGCTGGGCACTTAAAATAAATTACTACACGTAAAGCACTTAGAACAGTACTGGGCACATAGGAGGTATTATAGGATTGTTATCAGTAAATAAGTAAATATTGTAAAGTAAAAAAAAATTACTAGTAGTAGGCAAAAATCAAGCCCAATGACAAGACAAAATGGGGCTTTCAACTAATACGAATTTGCTATCTTTCTAAATATCTCAGCCAAGTGGGAAAATGGACCACAGGCCCCATGGCTGAGTGTGTTATTATATCATTTTATATTTTATTTCTTGGTGAAGGACAAAAAAGAAACAAAAATACATCTTTTCTGATGAGTAATTTTCAGGATGGGGGAAATTTCCTACTCAATTGCAGATCTGGGTGGGGAAGTCTGTGATTTTTCTGTACAGAGGGTGATTTTCCTCAGCAATGGCCAGGAGGTGTAGAGAGATGCAGTTTCTTGAAGATCCAGAAATAAACTATTAAATTCACTAGAAAATTATGAAACTCCTCAGAACCCATTGAGAAATTATGAAATTCAAACATTCAAAATAGACAAACACTCTGTCCAAATTGGAACTTAATGCCTACTCGGTGAGATGTTCAGGATTACTTATGGTAGCTGAAAGAGCCAAAAAGGGACATCGGATCATGACGAGGAGATGTTCCCAGATTTCTGCTCCAATTTCTCCACCAAGACAATGAACCTATTAAAGAAAAAAAAGAAAATCTCAACTGAAAAGTTGATTTAAAAATAGCAAATGAAAGTAAGACATGGAATCTTGAAATTGTCATGCCTGCCTTCCCATCGCCTTTAAGTGACCATGCCAAGTTTAAAGAAATATTAAAAATTCCCACAACCAATTCACCAACAATTCTGCCTTACTTTACTTTCAAAAATTTCTTTCAACTCAATGCATTTATCTTCATGTCTACCGCCAACCTAGCTACTCTCACATCTCAGCAGCGTTACCACAATATCCACTTGACTACTATACTAGACTGCCTACTTGCCCTTAAATTCTTCACATCACAGCCAAAATAAAAATGCTGGCCGGGCGCAGTGGCTCATGCCTGCAATCCCAGCACTTCGAGAGGCCGAGGCGGGCGGATCACGAGGTCAGGAGATTGAGACCATGCTGGCTAACATGTTGAAACCCCATCTCTACTGAAAATACAAAAAAAATTAGCCGGGCATGGTGGGGGGTGCCTGTAGTCCCAGCTACTCGGGAGGCTGAGGCAGGAGAATGGCGTGACCCAGGAGGCGGAACTTGCAGTGAGCTGAGATGGCACCACTGCGCTCCTGCCTGGGCAACAGAGTGAGACACTGTCTCAAAAAAAAAAAAAAAAGGTTTAAAAAGATAAACTATATCAAGTCATGTCACTAAATAAATTGCTTTAATATCTTCCCTTTGCATGTGAAATAAAATATAAACTCCTTAATGGGAGGTATAATGTCTGGCATCATTTGGCCATCACTGCCTCTCTGGCTTTATTTCAATCCACTGTCTCCACCTTTACTATGGTCCAGAAAGAATGACCTTTTCTTTGTTCCTTGAACTCATCCTTCCTACCCAAGAGCTTTCATGTATATTATTCCCTCTGCTTAAATTACTCTTACCCTCTCCTATTCACACGGTAGAGTTCAGCTCAATGCCACTCCATTAAACAGACTTTCCTGACCACCTATTCCAGAGTTGCCTCCTCCTGACACCCTACCATGACTGCAGTCATGGCAGCCTGCTCCCTTCCTTCACAGTTTGTACCAACGTGAGCTGGCATCATCATTTGTGAGCTCACTTGTTTATTTCCTCTTTCTTGATGAAACTGCTGTCAGCTCCAGTGTCTAATAGATAAGGCATTAAGTAAACTGTAACCTTAGACCTGAATATTCTATTCCTAGCCACTGACACAAAGCCTAACACTGAGCAGGCACTTCTTAAATATCTGCTGAGTAAATGAATGGATGAGCAAATCAAACTAGATCCAGAAAGGAGTCGCAATTGTGGTCTTCATTTAACAGATTAAAGTATGACACTTGGCAAGCAACTGGAAAAGACTTACTATCAAAGTCAAATTATCTATCTATTAGAATATGCATACCCACTGCCCATTTGGGCTTGTCCTGGTGAGATAAAATACCACTCCATCAAATATTGACCTTATGCTTTGCCCTAGATAGCACTTTTCCCTGATTCTGCCAGTGGACATTAGCCTTTAAAACCTTTCGGTTTTATCCCTGACACAAAATTCGAAAAACTGAAATAGCCAAAGTCATATCATCATATCACTTCAGAGTTTTGAGATGAGATTTTAATTCAAAGTTCTAGATTGCATAGACAAAGTTGTTGGATTTTTGAAAACAATAATATTCAAGACCTTCATGATGCAATATGAGATCAACCAAAAATAAATATAATAAATCAGTATCAAATCCAAAGCACAGCCTATTTGGTAGCTCCAAGTTTATAGCAAGGAAAAGGTAAGTTACAGAGATTTGTTAAACTTTTTCCCTTTGAATGTAAAATTCCACAGAGCCAAAGAATATATCTTCCTATCGTGTTCTAAATCTCTTTTAATAAATATTCCCCCTTTTTTTTCTTTCTTTTCTTTTTTTTTTTTTTTTTTTGAGATGGAGTTTCACTCTGGTACCCAGGCTGGAGTGCAGTGGCACGATCTCGGCTCACTGCAACCTCTGTCTCCTGGTTCAAGTGATTCTCCTGCCTCAGCCTCCTGAGTAGCTGAGATTATAGGCACCTGACACCACTCCCAGCTAATTTTTGTATTTTTAGTAGAGATGGGGTTTCACCATGTTGGCCAGGCTGGCTTCAAATTCCTGACCTCAGGCAATCCGCCCGCCTCGGCTTCCCACAATGCTGGGATTACAGGTGTGAGCCATCTGACCAATAAATATTCCTAATAATGCTGCAATATAGCTTTGCGAAGTATCTTCCATTTGCCCCAATAAATCGCTATAAATCTACCTTGTTTTTTATCCTGCTGCCTCTTCCCAGGGAAGCTGACCTACAGGTACTTTGTCAAAAGGACTCTTATGATTTCTGGTTCCACTGGGTTTGGCCTATGGAGGGCCTTGGCCACAGATCAGAAGAAGCGCGGAGACTGAGACTGAGGTCATTTTTCCATTGGCTCCTTTCCTGAAAAGCTACCTTGAATCAGCTATATTCCTCACAACATGGTCAACTCAATTGGAATCTCGTTTTGAGTTTCCATAAATGCTTCCATGCCTTGCTCCTTTAAGCCTAGGGGTAAACTACTAGCTCTAGATTACTGCACTAACCCTTATGGATTCCCTCACATACACCTTTGAAAAATACCCTTCTTGAATTATTGTATTTCAAGAGTGTCATTTAATTTTCTGTTGGGATCATGACTGATAAAACTTATGTAACTGGCATCATTGTTAGAGCCAAAAATTATTTACTTTAGAGGTCAAAGATTGGATTGAAATCTCTGTCCAGGGGAACTTGTACCAGAATGGTTGAACTCCATTTTCCCTGAAACAGTTGTCAGTGAAAGATTCCACTCCCATACAGAACTCTGTGGGGTGCATCATTTTACCCTATTGAGTCACAACACGAAAAGGGAGCAAAAAAACTATAATTTCCAGGAAAAATCACTCAGGAAAAAAAAAAAAAGGGAGGCCTTCTCAATCTGAACTCCATCCAAGGGGATAGATGTCCTGAAACACCAAATATCTTAATTGCTATGCAAATGTGCACTAGGAAATTAAGCAAACAAAGAACACTAAACCTACCTCATCAAATATAACATATCTGATCTTTTTCACCCAGTTTTGGCGATGAGGAGCAAGCAGCAGAATTTCAAAGCAGGCAGGCACTGTAATAAGTACCTACAAAGAATAATATTGTGTGAGGTAACATTTTGAGCACTTACCATGTGTAGACATAGTTACAAGAATATGTAAGATAGACTTACAAGTCCTGCATGTACCTGCTGATAATTGGCATATAACATTGCTTCTGAGAATTCAGGGTTTCATCAAAACTGTGCCATATTCATTGGAACCATATTAAACAGAAATTTTGGTAGGTCAAAAATGGTAGAAAATCAGATTTGAAGTTTATATCCTTGTTTATGAGCATTCAGAGTTTAAAAATAGAAACTATTCATTGTCACAAGTTTGATTCTTTAAAACCTGACACTGACATAGAGTTTAGATTGAAAGGTGTTTATTAAGAATCAGCTAGTGTGAAAAGAGCAGGGAAGCAGGAATGAGCAGAGGAGGAAGCCTAACTGCAAGGCAGGCCTGATGGAGCCTCTGCCAACCTAGCTTGGAGTTCTGGAGTAAGGACTGCTGTCAGAGTTGTTCCACATCGAGCCACAGCAGCCTACTGTTTGTACTTCTACTTAGCTCAGTTGCAGGGTATAGACTGTGGAGGCAGAACTGGGGGAGCGGAGCTGATAGCCGGCATCTATCTTAACCACACTCCCCACATCAAATCCTTCTTTGAAAGGCAATCTGGGTAGAACATCTCCATGTCTACCATGCAATCTTCTACAATCATGTGTTCATTCTTATTTAGTCTTAATTGTTGATCTGTGAGTTCGGAGGGGAGAAAACTGTCTATGATTTAGCACCAGGTATACGATCCATAATACATTTTCTAAATCATGAGTATCCTTAATAGATACTTATGAAGAAAAAGCAATTGATTTAAAATTGAGATTTGTTAGTTTTCTATAACATAGCATTTTCAGATCATTCTGAATCCCTTTACAAACCAAGACGATGCAATAAAATATAAATGAAATCAGAAATCCAAAGGTCAGTGTCCTTAGAGAAAGATGAGTTCTAGTTCTCACTCTTTGAAATGTAACAATATTACATTTTCTCTAAAAGTATTTTGTCTTTCATAAATTCAAGGAAATTATTTTCACAAGCCTTGTGAAGATGTTGAATTTCTAGTCAAAGAGACATACAAGTACAGTTATATAATTCGATAACACACTTATTAATTAAAATACCGTACCTGACAGTTTAAGGCGTCATGACGATACTCCCTGGTGAAAACACCACAGAGAGCTTCACCACTTGGCAGATTTTTCGTAAAACGATTCTGAACAGTTGCTGCCACTTGATTAACAAGGGCCTGATTGACAAAGAAAAAGATCCATTAGTCACATAATAGAGAGAGGTGAAATATCAGAGGACAACAAGAACTGTCTAAAAGTGTGTCCTGCTTTCAGTGCAGAAAGCTTACTAACCCCTTTCATCAACCCACCACTCTAAACACACTAACATATTCTCTTTGAGATAGTTGACTCAGCACACGAACCTCACTGATAAACCTCAACCTAAAGTAAAATGAAATTTAAAAAGTATTCATCAGAAGGAAAAACAGAAAATGTTGCTTATGCATCAGAAAAAAATTGTATCTCCTATATTTGGTGACTTTCCCCTGATGTCTAAAGTTTGAATATGTATATGTTATTTTATGTATATGTTTGTGTGTGTGTGTGTGTATATGAATGTGTATATGTATATAAATGTACAAATACACACACGTGTGTGTGTGTGTGTGTATATGAATGTGTATATGTATATGTATGTTATTTTAGCTTCAGACACTGGAACTAGAAAACGCAGGTTAAAAAATAAAATGAACTAGATCTACCATGTGACCATGTTCATTATTTTTAAAGAGTAGGTTCAGGAACGAAAGAGAATATTACAGTCAGTTGAGCGCTACCTTTGTGGGAGCAACGTACACGACCACCCCATCATCACTCTCCTTCAGCACTTTCTCCATGCAGTAGTAGGAGGCATAGGTTTTGCCTGAGGATGTTGGGGCAACAATCACTGCAGACTCATTCTTATCCACAACATCAAGGAGCTCTCGCTGCAGGGTGCAGAGTACCATTCGTGTCAAGAAAGTGAACCATATGTTACCAAAACAAAAACAGTATATTAATAGACTTCCAATACGATTTTCTGAACCTCAAAGGATCTATAGGGACATCTGAAGGTCTCATGCCATTCTCTCAGAAGAGATCATTTTTATGCTTTTGAACATCTGTAAGGTGGGTTTCATGTGTGAAAAATGGAGAGGATGTCGAACAAAATATCTTATTATTGAGAAAACATCTGTAATTATTTGATATTCAGTAAGTGCGGTTGAGAAACTAAGTTCTAAGAAAGAGAAAATATGTATATTACTGATGGTGAAAAAAGTAGCTGAGGAGAAGAAACATCAAATATTCTTAATTTTGCTACTGATCTTCTACTTTCTACATAGAAGAATGCCAGGATGAGAGAGCTCCACCCCTTCAGCCGAAGAATGTTGACTAGCCGAAAAGAATGATGATAAGTCTATGTAATAGGTAGAAGGTGGGAAAACAACTCAAAACCCCAACCAGTCCACTCCTGGTCACACCTCAGAGTGAATAGGCATCAGAACAGTTACAATGTGGATGAAATTAATGGAGAGCATTACTGTCTCTTGTCCTGCACTGAAGTAAGGAACTGGTCTTCCTATTCATGAAAAGGCGGCATGCATTTTTTAACCTACCCCACCATCATAAGAAAGATTCTGAAGAGGGCAGTCTATTAGACTGAAGCTATAAAATTGCATTTCTGTAGGTAAACCTGTTCAATTTATCAGCAAGTCTGTATGGTTCAATGCATGTAGAAATGCATCCTTTTCCTCTGAATTTTATATCCATCAATATTAATTTTATATACATTTTTAGAATAGCTACTATGGTGACAGATGCAATGTGTAAATATCTAAACAATTGTCCCTACTATTTAAACTATCCAGATTTCTCTATGCACATTTATGTATTTACATATGAAATCCTATTGACACAGGGAAAACCTGGAGGCTGCATCCATCACAGCTGGATGACACTGAGATAACATCAGAGCTAAACATATGAATCCATTAATGTACCTCCAAGGAAATGGTCTCTATGATAAAAGAAAATCTCACTTTCTTTAAATGGGGAAAAAATGTCCACATTTGACATTTTAAATAACAAGGTATCTTTAAATGACATCAACAAGTTCATACCAAATATAATAAGTAGAGGCACAATAATGAGAAACCTCTGAGATCACATATAATAAAAAAAATACAGTAATTTTTGTTTCATTTGCAGTATTACCTGCCATGTGTCGGGAATAAAATCCTGGACCCTGGGATCTGGGTCTTTTCTCTCATCTCGTATCAAATAATGGCCCATGTATTGCAGTTGGAACCGAGCTGGCCCGATGCCAACTGAATATTTATTCCTTTTCTTCGCTTTTACATCATTTTCTGCATCCTGCATTATTTTAAAAGTCCATTTTGAAAATGACATTGAATTAGAATATCACTTAAATAAGTAAAACATTTATTACTGAGCCCTTTCTATGTGAAAAGCAATGAAAGCATTTTACCACCTTTTAAATTTAAATTTTTAAAATCATTGTCTTAACTAGAAAAAATTAGTAGGCGTCAAGATTTTTAAATATATATCATGACGTTTGTAGCTACAACCTGATATATTTAAAGACAATTGAATAATCATACTACAGTTTTGAGATGTTTTGCTAGAATTAAGTATATGGTTAGTTTTAAGGATCTGCAGAGATTATCTGGCATTTAATGTTTGTCCAGGTAAGCATTTGTACAAATTTTCTAATTATGCATTACTTCAAGATTGGGCAGTTGGATTACTACTACTAATAGTATTTTCAGTTAAAAAAAAAAAAAATCTGGAAGAGATGACTATATTTGCAAAACACTTTATGTATAACTAGTAATTACCCTGTTGAAATTGAGCTATTCCGATAATATTACCTGAGTTGGATGTAAAGAATTTGCCAACTCATCAAATCCTAAATACTTAAGGCATCTGGCTATGAGTTGCCGATCATCTTCTTGTAAAAGTTCTGAGTATTTTTCCATCAAGGAGTGGATCCTTTTCATCATTTGAACAGCTATACTTAAATCTTTCGTGGTTTTACCTTGGTAAAGAATAAACAATAAAATTGTTATAAAGACCATCAAAAATAATTCATTTGATTATCCAACATTAATCACCTAGATGGCCTCACTATCTTACTTGGCATTAGTGGAGGTTTTGGAGTAGAAAGGGCCAAATAAAGTAAAATTGAAGTTCAACTAGCCACACTTCGTCATCTCCGTGGATTACTGAGACATAGCCACATCAGTGTTGGGAAAAAATATATAGTTCATAATAGAAATAAGATCAAAGAAGCTCAAGTTTGTAAAAGTTTAGGAAGAATAACAAATATTTTCTCCATCTTTTATTTTCATACTTGCTCTACTGTGTTCAAAGAAAAATATCTTTATGACTTGAAATATCTGGTTAAAACCTTGGCAACATTTATTGAGTCCTATGGTTGACCACAGATAAGCATTTGGTATAATCATTGGAGGACTTCAATTCAATCCACCTCTTCCAACTGTCACATTCTAGATGTTGCTAATCTCTCTCCAATGCTTTATATTCATATATATCCTTTTTGTTCCTCTGCTCTGCTAATTATTTCATACTTACTATGTCAGGATTTCTTCTAATCAATCATCTATATTTCACCTATTTAACAACATTAATACCTACTGAATACAGTAAGAGGCTACAAAGGAAATGTAATACAGTTCATACTGATTGTTATGCACTGTTATTCTAAGTGAGCAGTTCACTTAGAAAAACAATGCATAACACTTGATCATTCCCAATTAAGCAGCAGAAACAATAGGTGTGGGGGTGGTCAGGGTGTTGGAGAGAACATGGAGGTCAGGTGTTAAATGGATCAAAGTGTGGAGATGCTCAAAACTGACAGATCAACTAGGTTTGCTCAGAAGAACTGTCAGCTTGGAGGTATTATGGAACAAGATCATTTCACTTGCTGTGAATTTACACATCTTGATGTGATCCCATTTCACCTGTATCTTCCTCTTTCTGCCTCTTCTTCTCTTTTTTACTACCTGTTATGGAAATTGTAAAGTAGAGCACATGGTATCCACAGCAGCTTTGGAAGAACTCAGTGTGCCAGGGAAGCATGAATACGGCATTACTCACAAAGGAAATGTTTACTCATTGGTCTCAAAGGTGAATGACAGATTCTTCCTGGGTGCCTCATTGTTTTTGTTGGTTCCCTTAACCATGTCCCCAACTTTATAAGTTGTTCTTTTTGCACCTGTCTTTGAAGGTGCTTATGAATGTGCTATATATTTGCCCTTTGGACCCTCTCTGAGATTTCATTGCTCATTGATAAAATACAAAATTTTCCTTTTATTGGTGTGTCAGGGATCTAAGCTAAACTGTGGTTCAAAATTATTAAATCAAAAATTCCAGAAATACATAATTCATATGTTTTTAAATTGCACACCATTTTGAGTTGTGTGATGAAATCTCGCACCATCTCACTTCGTCCTGCTCAGGACATGAATCCTTCCTTTGTCCCCCATGTTCACACTGTAGATACCACATTCCCATTAGTTACTTAGCCACCCTGATGATCAGATTGACTGCACTGATGCCTCAATGTTGGTGTTCAATAACCCTTCTTTATTAAAATGGCCCCAAACTGCAAAATAAGTGATGTTGGCAATTCAAATATGCCAAAAAAGAAGCCACAAAGTGCTTTCTTTAAGTGAAAACATGAAAGTTCTTGACTTAATAAGTAAAGAAAAATTCACATGCTGAGGTTGCTAAGATCTACACTCAGAAACAACCTTTTACCCATTAAGTTGTGAAGAAGAAAAAAGAAATCTGTGCTATTTTTTCTGTTCCACCTCAAACAGCAAAAATTTTGGCCACAGTGTTTGATAAGTGCTTAGTTAAGATAGAAGGTGGAAGGCATAAATAGAAAATATTTTCCAGGTGATGGAAACATGTTGCACCTGAAAGCATTGAATCTGTATGAAGACTTCAGCAAGGCATCCTCCAAAATGAGTGACAATGACCCATTTTCTTCAAATATAGGATGGTTAAACAAATTTGGGAATAGGTTTGGACTGAAAAGTATAAAAAATACTGAAGAGGGCCAGGCGCAGTGGCTCATGCTTGTAATCCCAGCAATTTGAAAAGCCAAGGTGGGCGGATCATGAGGTCAAGAGATCGATGATCCTGGCCAACATGCCAACATGGTGAAATCCCATCTCTAGTAAAAATACAAAAATTAGTTGGGCATGGTGTCGCGTGCATGTAGTTCCAGCTACTCAGGAGGCTGAGGCAGCAGAATCGCTTGAACCCAGGAGGCGGAGGTTGCAGTGAGCCAAGATCGCGCCACTGCACTCCAGTCTGGTCCCGACAGAGCGAGGCTCCATCTCAAAAACAAAACAAAACAAAACAAAACACTACTGACTGAAGAGGCTCCATCTGCCAATGAAGAAGCTGCTGCCACATTTCTGGCAGAGTTGAAGAAGTTGGTTAGAAAGAAAGGATACCATCCAAAGCAAGGTTTTAATTGTGATGAAACCAGGCTCTTCTGCAAGAAGATGCCCAATAGAACCTACACTCTTAAAAGTCCAAAGGAGGCACCAAGACAAAAAACATGGAAGGATAGATTAACACTGGTACAAGGTGGCAACGCTGCAGTGCACATAATACAGACAGGCATAGCATGCAGAATGAAGAAGCCATACACTCTCAAAAACAAAAGCAAAAATTATCTGCTTGTGTTCTGGCAACATAATCAGAAAGTGTGAATGACAGTCAACATTTTTATGGAATGGTTCTACCAATGCTTCTTCCCAGAAGTGAAAAAATTCTTGAAAGAGGAAAGCTTGGAATACTAGACAATGCACCTAGCCATCCCAAATCTGTTTTTGTTGAAAATGAAAATATTGAGATTGTATTTTTACCTCCAAATACAAACTCACTGTTTCAGTGCCTTGACTACGGCATCAGTCAGTTTGTCAAAGCCACATACACCTGCCTGGTGTTTGATTACATTCAATCAGCAACTGATGCAGACCCCAATCTGGACATGATAAGGTGCTGGAAATTACTCACTATTGCTGATGCAATAACACTCTCCAAAGATGCAATGGATTAATTAAATCAAAAAACTAGAAATGCCTGCTGGAAGAATGTATGGAGTGAAGTCCTGAGTGATTTTCAAGACTTCTTGGGGATCAATGGAGAAGTTAGGAAAATAATTCATGCAGCAAGACTAATTGATAGAGAGAGATTTGCCAATGTGTTTGATAAAGAAGTGAAACAACATATTGAAGTTCATTAGGAAATGTTAACAAATGAGGAAATGGAAGAACTTACTGAGTCATCTAGGGAGGAAGATGAAGAAGAACCTGAAGCAGAACCTGAATTTGCTAAAGTGTTTCAAATTACATAGATATTAAAAGAAAAAATATGGAATACAATTCTCAGATAGAATACAGCATTAAAGTCACCCATAAAATCACAAAAGAATTGCAACCTTCACAGAAACACTTTGATAAGTTAAAGAGTGACAACAGTGGCCAGGCACGTTGGCTCGTGCCTGTAATCCCAGCACTTTGGGAGGCCCTGGTGGGTGGATCACAAAGTCAGGAGTTCAAGACCAGCCTGGCCAATATGGTGAAACCTCGTCTCTACTAAAAATACAAAAATTAGCTGGGCATGGTGGCGTGCACCTGTAGTCCCAGCTACTCGAAAGGTTGAGGCAGAAGAATTGCTTGAACCCAGGAGGCGGAGGTTGCAGTGAGCCGAGATGGTGCCACTGTACTCCAGCCTGGGTGACAGAGTGAGACTCCATCCCCACTAAAAAAAAAAAAAAAAAAAAAAAAAGTGACAACAGTTACTGCTAATGTTATTCTTCTAAAAGACTTCAGCAAAACTCTTTCAACCATGGAGGACCCCAATCATCAATATCATCTGCTCCTAACATCAGTCATTCACTCCCTTGTGGCTTAATGACACAAGGATTGCCTGAAGCAGACGATCCTCCTTCTGTTGCATCATCAGAAGGTCAACAATAGTGTTCATCAATCACCTCACTTCACCTCATCATGTAGCCATTTTACCATCTCACATTCTCACAAGAAGAAAAGGGGTGAGTATAGTACAATAAGGTATTTTGAGGAAGAGAGACCATATTTACATAACTTTTATTATAGTATATTGTTGTAATTATTCTATCTTATTATTGTTGTTAATCTCTTACTGTACCTAATTTAGAAATTAAAGTTTATCATACATATGTATGCATAGGACAAAATAGTATACATGGCATTTGGTACTATCCACAGTTTCAGGCAACCATTGTGGGTCTCAGAACATATTAAAGGTAATAATACATAAAATAAGATAGTGCATGTAAGTCTTCTAATGCAAATTTCCAGTTAATAAATGGCAACTATCATTATTACATTTGTATTAATTCTCCAACTCACCGAAATAAGAAAACAGAATCACATACCTTCTTCACTTCGGCAATGTTCTTTCCAGGCTTTCAAGCAAGCAGTTAATCCCACCATTTCAACCCGAAGTTTCACAGAGCTACTTTTACAGGATTTCAAAAAGTCTTCCAGGTTCTTTATTCCAGAGTATAAATTCTCTTTCATTTGCTCTTCAATAGAAAATGACAAAGCATTCCACTTTTGCTCTTCCTTTTGTTCTTCCTTGGCAAATAACCTTTTCTTATTCTCTCTAGTAATTATTTCAGCCTTGGTCTCCTGCCCCAAAGGAAAAAAAAAAAAGCATCTCTTAAAATAAGTTGAACATATTCCAAGATAAGAGGTCATGAGTGAGACAATATTAAGGGTGTACTGATGACTTTGATCATCATCCCATTTTGAGTAGATGTGAAAAACTTCTTTTTTTTCTTTTGGAAATTAAGCCTGTGTTAATTTACAACTTATGACAATTTAATTTAGGGAGTATAAAGGCTCTCTGTAGATAATTTTCTAGATTTGTGAGTGGTGTAGTTTATAAATAAAAGAGTAAATGCCGCTGGGCATGGTGGCTGACACCTGTAATCCCAGCACTTTGGGAGGCTGGGGCTGGCAGATCACCTGAAACCAAGTGTTTCAGACCAGCCTGGCCAACATAGTGAAACCTCTTATCTACTAAAAATACAAAAATTAGCTGGGCGTGGTGGCACACTCCTGTAGTCCCAGTTACTTGGGAGGCTGAGGCATGAGAATCCCTTGAACCCGGGAGGCAGAGGTAGCTGTGAGCCGAGACTGGGCCACTGCACTCCAGTCTGGGCAATGGAGCAGGACTCTGTCTCAGGAAAAAAAAAAAAAAAAAAAAAAAAAGAAGAAGAGTTAATGTCACAAAATCAGAGACAAGAGGCCACCTCTCTTTTCATGTCTCCATGCTATGATATCTGCTGCTCCCTCTAGAATTGCCTGCCCTCTTCCATTCTTCCCACATCACCTCCCTATTCTCTACTTGCTTAATATATTTCCTCCATGAAGCTTTCCCTGACTCTCCCAAGTCTAAGTCATGTATTCTTCCTCTGCTCAGACATCTATTGAAGCACTCATTAGCACAAACTGTAGTTGTAATTTCATTTGCCATTCCTCCTCTCTTGATTGAGATCCTGAGACAGGAATGTGCCTTTGTTGTCTGTATGTCTCAAGCGCAAAGCATTTAGTCCATAATGTTTGATGAGTGAATAAGGAAAGAGGAAGAAGAGGAGTGGATAAGAGGAACAACACAAATACAACTGATTTTCTCTTCCTCAATAAGCACTTCCAATTAACTTAAACATAGTATGGGCCCATTTTACCATGCTTTTACCAACCTGACTCATTAATCTACAAAGACAAATTAGAGAATTGTTGTATTAGCAAGAGGATTCCAACACATCTTCCACTCTTCTTGTTAGTCACGAAATTAATCTGTAAATGCCTGCCTATAATGAAGTCAATTTTTTGTCATCACTCTCTAAATTAGAAACAAATCCTTCTAATCAATAATATTTGAGCTTTCCCAGTGTTTAGTCTTCCTAATTTGCTGTGTTGGGCCAATTTAGCATGGTTCTGTCTCAATAGTACAAGGGTTACCTTTGACCCTTTGCCATGTAGATTTTTCTATTTTCATACATTGTATTATGTGACAAGAATTTCTGCAAATTTACCATTTCATAACATCTCTCAAAACAACAACAACAAACATAACTGAAAAGCAGTAGCTTTTTGTCACCCATAAATAAAAAAGTAAATGTTCAATTAAATAGTCTCACTGACAATACAATTGGCTACATAAATGAAAAGGAGGAGAGAAACAATGATCACATAGTTGGGCTCAGAGAGGCTTCCCTTTGGCTCTTAAAACAAAAGATGGGACAGCCAATTGCTTAAACTTTTGAAGCAGTTGAAGAATAGAGCCTTCATAGAATGTCTGAGAACCTTTTAGAGTAATTTGTGATTATTTTTTGATGTTATCTTGAGTGGAAAATACAAGAGCTTTTTTGATAAGTCCTTGAACTGATGAACTGTCTCTTGGAGTTCTGAAATGTCCACTGAAGGCTTGACAAAGAGATGCACATTTTCCTGATCTTGCCAAAATTTTCACAAAAGTAATTATTCAGAAGTGAGAATAAAAATATTTTTTGAGGTCTTTATATGTTTCATTCCTGATAACTTCACCATGTTTATTTCAATTTGTTAAGGTAGATATGTGACAAATATCTTTATTTGTGATTGGTTTTGTTAAGTTGGTACTTTCTCTAATATATTAAAATCTTTCATCTTGAGAGAAACTTTTTGTGAAAATAAGTGCCATTACCAAATCCCCAACTTTGAGGCCCACAGAAAGATACTAAAGCCTGATGACTTTTCCATTTGTTTAAGATGGAAACCTTTATGACCTGTCTCTAAAGTCAAATAATCAGAAAATTCAGTTTTAAAATAAAAATATCTGTACTTAGACATTAATGTTGCAGGAATTATCAACTGATAATTTTAGATCATAAACTATTAGTATTATTATTCCAGAAATAGATTGGAACTTTTCTTATTTACTCCTTGTATTCCATTCCACAGTTATGTCTCCTGGGAAAAGAGCAGAAAAACAACATCCCAAGAAGGAAAAAGGTAAGGTTGCAGGAGTCCAACCCACACGGAAAGATGAAATGGACAGTTCTAACCTTCCACTCACAAAATGTGGTGGATTGATCAATCATTTAAATACTTTGGAAAAGTGTAAACACTCTTCATAATTTAGAAAAAAGTAGATAAACATTTCATATCTATTTTTACCACCTATATGAAAAAGATTTTCACTGTCATTAACTAATGAACAACTATATTTTTAATGTTAGTTTAAAATTTCTAAACTCAAAACTTTAGTCACTTAATTATTCTTCAAATAGATACATACGTTATTATGTATAGAATACCATTACAACTTTTTTATGCAGGTTAGGCTTTTTCAGCAAGAGGTAAAAGAATAAGTAATGATATATAAAAATACATGCATATATATATATGTGTGTGTGTGTGTATATATATATGTATAAAGAAAAAGCATTATATAAAAAGAAACCACTAAAGGGATAACAAATATCAACTTGAGAAAAGAAAAAGATTTTTTTTTTAATTTGATAGAATGTATAGAACTTACGTGTGCCTTTTTGCTCTTGGGCCCACTAAAATCCTTCTTTGACTTAATAGTTTGAGTCACGATGATTTTCGAAGAGACTGTTTCTAATGAATTCCCATAAAACCGTTGGAAAACATGATACTTTTGCACAGATCTAAGAACACGAGGGTCTCTAGATTTTTCTGAAAAAGAAAAGACTTAAAATGTAACTTTATTATAGTTTTTCAATAGCATTCTCATCAATTCTTCATATTATCCCACATCCATTAGTTAAATTAGTGGAAAAGTAATTTAATCTTATTATCTTTCTTAAAGAGAGAATGTAAAATCAAGTTATCTATGGATAATAATTCCTTCTCTTATTCAAAGGGTGGAAGTGACAAAACACACTTTCATGGTCTACCTCCTAAATCAGGTATCAGGGTGCAACAAAAAAAATGACAGATTCCAGGCATTACGTATGTCCTCTGCCCTGTGAATTAGTTTAAGAAGAAGGTAGAGGCAGAGGCAAGAAGACAACTATCTAAGATATTCTGGCTTCTTGCATCACTGGATAGAAAAAATCCTTACTCCAGACCATAGCCACAGAGCCAGAGCCCAGAGCATGGCAGCTAAAATGGTAAAATCTCATAACGTAAGAAGTCCCAATAATCAAGGTATGCCTTACTCTCTTACCTCCATAATACTCACAGAAATGAAATAACTAAGCTAATTTTTCTATGTCTGTAAATATATACATCAAACCAAACCACTCTGAAGCATGTTAATGGTTTGTCTAAAGCATCCCCCCAACACCTTGGTCATTTTTTACATACCCAGGCTAATAAGTACTTCATATGAGCATACTTGATATGCCTACTCCTAGGTTATTCTCAGAGTAAGTTTTGTCAACTCTAAGGGGGCTGGGGGTAAGCACAGGGATACAGAAAGTTGAGATGAAGACAAGATCCTAAATTCAGTCTCTGTTGATCCACTGTTAGCGGTTTCATGGGCCTCCTTTTGTAGTTTCAACCACCCTGAGCATGAAGGCAGATAGAATGTTGGTGCTTATTACATGCAGCCAATCGGGTGGTATGAAACAGTTAAAATTGCTTGAAATACTATGGTCTCAATATATTTGACTCCAAGGAATACATACATTGCTTAAACTACAAACCATCTTTCCTTAAAACAACTTCTAGCACTTCCTCCTAAAACACATACATATCTATATGCATATGACTGTCAATGAAGAAAAAGAGAATTTTTCATTACCATCTTTCCCAATGCACATCTAAATATCTTGTAGACTATTTTTATTCAAAAAAACTTAATTTGTGTCTCATGATATGATAATTTTCCACTATAAAACAAAAGGCAGAGAGTAAAGTAGATCTAAATTTATTTCACTAGAGTCACAGAGCTCACCATCAAACTGACACTTGGACCTGTCATAATCATCACTCAGGGGTTTATGAGAATGCCAGTGCACAAGTTCATCAAATTCCTTTTGTTTAACCAGTGAAGTAACAATAGGATCATCACTGCGAGACAAAAAAAAAAAAAAGCGTATTTTAAATTGCACACTTCTAAATATAACATAGCACAGATTTTATTTTATAATATTTTTGAAAATCATAGCTCCCCTTCTTCTTTCTGCAATATGATGTGGGTGGTAGAATCCAAAGAGAAGTTTATTAGAGGTTTAATAAATCAAAATCTACTCCATGTCTCTGACAGTCTCATCAATATCAATTAATATGCATTCATTAATTCATTAATTTAAAATATGCAGCTGTAGTGACTTATTCTAAGTTCGGCCAAAAGGCATTGAAAATTTTGATTTTAAATTCATTATGTATTACAAACACATACTACATGTAATGTACTCTGATCATCTGCATTTCAAATAATCCTTGTTGTGTAACTCATGTATTCCATACAAGTATTTATTGAGGCACAGTTTTGGTCTTATACCTTTTTAGAAAAGGCAAATCTTTCAAAATATCTCCAGCAAATTTATCAACCACAAAAGAGGACATTGGAATAAAACCAAAATTGGGCACCATTTCACTGGCGCTGTCTGTAAACAAACAAACAAAAAAAAATTGAGACAAGGTCAAATGTAAAACTTTCAGACAGGAATATTACATATTATTTTCTAAAACTCACATTAAAAACATTTTACATTAATCTTATTTACATGTTTCAAGTTTCAGCCCTTCTTATAAAGTTTTTCCCACAGTAAAACACTTTGGAACACAGTAGAGTATAAAGAATTAGACAGCATTTTGGCATATATGTGGATATGCATGGGGGATGGGTGGGTGAATGGATGCGTGGATGGGTGGATGGATAGATGCATGGATGGGTAAGTAGACAGATAATAGATGGATAAATCAGATAGGTAGGTAGATGGAAAGAAGGAAGGGAGGGAGGGAGGGAGGGAGGAAGGAAGGAAGGAAGGAAAGAAGGAAGGAAGGAAGGAAGGGGAAGCAAAGAA